TGTCATCGTCCTGCATGGTGAGAACACGCTCTTGACACTGTTGACAGGCTTCGCAAAAGAAGAACTAGGCAGGACTCAGAATCAACTTGACTGGAAGGAGAAAGGCCTTCATACAGAGAGACAAGGCAAAGGCTGTCCTTCTTCTTGTCGTCATCTTTCTTCCTGTCATCGTCCTTCATTGTCGGAAATCTCTCTGGATATCCAGTCGCCAGGCTTTGTGAATCTTCGTAATGTAGTCAGACGGGAGCACAACAGTGTCTAGCATGGCCTAGCCGTTTACGCAGACGGCCAATCTTGCACAAGCTGTCCTTCTTCTTGTCATCATCTCTCCTCTTGTCATCGTCCTGCATGGTGAGAACATTCTCTTGACACTGTCGACGGGCTTCGCATGACAAGAAACAGGCAGGAATCAGAATCGAGTTCATACTAAGAGACGAGTTCGCACAAGCTGTCCTTCTTCCTGTCGTCATCTTTCCTCTTGTCATCGTCCTGCATTGTGTGGACATTCTCTTGTCGTGACACTGTCGATAGGCTTCGCATGAGAAGAACTAGGCAGGACTGAGAATCAAGTTGACTGTGAGGACAAAGACCTTCATCACAGAGCCAAGTTCGCACAAGCTGTCCTTCTTCCTGTCGTCATCTTTCTTCCTGTCATCGTCCTTCATTGTCGGAACTCTCTCCGGATATACTGTCGCCAAGCTTCGAAAAAGCTTCACGTTGTTGGACGAGAGCACAACAGTGACTAGCATGGCCTAGGCGTTTACGCAGACTGCCAAGCTTGCACAAGCTGTCCTTCTTCTTGTCATCATCTTTCCTCCTGTCATCGTCCTGTATTCATTTTTGCATTTTCGGGTAGTTCCTACGCAGTCAGCATGCAACATCTCTACAAGCCGCGGCTCTGTCCCTCTTCTTGTCGTCATCCCTCCTCTTGTCATCGTCCCGTTTCTTGTCATCGTCCTGCTTGTGGCACAGATGAAGGGATGGCAGCTCTCTGCCATGTGCCAGCACAAGCTATGGCTCTGTCCCTTCTGTCGTCATCGCCTCGGACCTGTCGGCTCTGAGGCAGGAGGCACACGGGACAGCAACGCACGGCAAGGCACAACGGGAGAGACAATGGCCTTGCAATTTGGGCACTTCTCTTCGTAGATCTCCAGGACACTCACGACTTGAGAGAACTTCTGCAGACAGCCCTGGATGCAGGCGGGCTCGCGATTCCCTTTCGTCTTGAGGCCGTCGTCGCAGAGCCTTTTGCAGTAGAAGGACTTGCTGCCTCAGAACGGGGCCACAGGAGGGGTACTGACTGGCGCCGCATGGACGCGGCACGCAGAGGGGGAGGGTCCGAAAGTCCGAGCGGCGGCATGAGCAGAGGCCTGCAGACAGCTCGCTGCTCTCCACGTCCGGCACGTCCGGCTGCAACGCATACGACCGGGACTGCAGGAGGCCCACGTCTTCGTTTACTTCCATGAGCGAATGCCTTGAGGAGCATATCCCGCACCTGCAGAAAGTCCGAGTGATCTTCCGAGCATTCGGACCACAGTCGTCTCGACATCGAGCGCCAGCGAAGCCGATGTCGCAAATTGCACCACAAAACCTCGCCACACAGCTCGTAACAAGTCAAGCGGCCTACCATCCTCTGGTTTTCTGCTGCTAGTGACAACCCTGCTTGCGTGAGCGAGTTCATCGCAGAAAGGCCGAAACTGACGATCGCTTCGAGTGAGGCTGGCAGGCCTTTAGTCTGGTATCCGCTTCAGAAACTTGCCAGCCGAAGTACCCTGCATCTTCGCAGATGGAAGCATTGGTCTCAGAAGCGGAAGTTGATGGGGCCACAAAGCTTGTAGTCGTGATCTCTTCTGTGGTGGTCGTGGTGGTCGTGGTAGGCGTCGTGGTGGTTGTCGTGGTGGTTGTCGT